GAAATACACACGGAAACATGAGTGATCACAAGTAGCCAAAATAACCCTCAGCAAAAGAAACAAAGTGGGAGGCCTCACACTTCCAGACTTTAAACTTTATTGTAAGGCTACCATAATCAAAACAGCCTGGTATTGATATAAGAACAGGCATATAGACTAATGGGACAGGATAGACATGCCAGAAGCAAACCTCAGTTTCTCAATCAATTCATCTTCGACAAAGCCTCCACCAACAATCGCTGGAGAAAGGAGAACCTATTCAGTAAATGGTGCTGAAAAAACTGAGCACATGCAGAAGAATGAAACAGGACCCCTACCTATCACCATACATGAAAACAAACTCCAAATGGATCATGGCCTAAATGTAAAACTTCGAGAATTGTAGAAAACACAAGAGACACCCTTATGGAAACCGGAATAGGCAACCAATCAGGAGATTAAAATCCAAAAAGCCCATGCTATAAGAAATAAGATTGACAAGTGGGATATCATCAAACTGAAAAGCTTCTGCCAAGCAAAAGAAACCAACAAGAGAGTGGGGAGACAGTCCACAAAATGGGAAAAATATTTGTCAACTGAAAATCTGACAAAGGCCTAACATCCAGGATCTATGAAGAACTCAAACACGCTGAAAGGAAAAGAAATAAATAGCCCCTTAAAAAAAGGGGGCCAAATACATGAATAGACACTTCTCAAAAGAAGATATATGAGCAGCAAACAGATATATGAAAAAATGCTCAGCCTCACTAATCATCAGAGAAAAGTAATTCAAAACCACATTGAGATACCACTGAACTCCAGTTAGAATGGTCATCATTAATAAAACAAAGACCAACAGATACTGGTGAGGATGAGGAGAAAAGAGAGCACTTCTACACTGTTGGAGGGAATGCAAATTAACTCAACCTCTATAGAAAACAGTGTGGTGATTCCTAAAAGAACTAGAAATTGACCTCCCATAAGACTCAGCAATCCCCTTTCTGGGAATATACCCAGAAGAACTTAAATCACTCTACAAAAAAGATACCTGCACATGCATGTTTATTGCAGCACTATTCACAGTAGCAAAAACATGGAACCAATCATGCTGCCCATCAAAACTGGACTAGATAAAAAAATGTGGTACCTATACACGATGGAATATTACACAGTCATAAAAAGAAGGACAAATCTATGGATTTCACAGCAACTTGGATGAATTTAGAGACTATCATATTCAGTGATCCATCACAGAAACAAAGAACTGAGTGCCACATGTTCTCACTCATAAGTGGACCCTGGACATTTACCATAATGCTATAAGAAAGGGACTGGCAATAGCAGGATACTGCTGGTGGTAGGGAGGCACATAACATCCATGAGGGTGCCTGATCTTTTTTTTTTTTTTTTTT